CCTTCCGTGTTCATAGAACTTTTAATATGAACCAGAGACTAGATCCCACTCATATAATCCATTTACTCTATTTATCTGCCCAGGAATTCACATGCATTCCTCCTTCCATACAACCTATCCACCCACTGCAGCCATAATGAACCACTTCCCAGAGAAATCATAATAATTGTTTTAAATACTGTGTTAAGGTGTGAGAGAATAAGATTTTTCAAAAGTTTAGTGTTTTCCTAACAATGAATTAAGGAGATCTCTACAATAATTCAGTTTTTCCATTTCTCTGCAGAAACGCAAAAAGGTGTGTACAGGGTATATGAAACATTTAGTGACATTAGTATCTATTAATAAAATTCATCTACATGAACTTATTAAAACAGGAAGCCTGTTTCAACGTGCCTTTGGAAACTGTTACATACAAGTTCTACAAGTTTTAAACACAGCTCTTTAAAATGTTCACCACTTCATAATCTACTACCTCTCATTATACAGCTACAAGTACATAAGTGCTTTAATGCAAAATAATGATGGAACAAACAAATCATAATAATTCAACAGTAAAATTAAGGAACTTTATTCCTCCCTCTTAGAGATTTTGCTCCAAAACTCAAAATACTTTCAGGCACTCAAAGTATTTTGCTCAGCTTTTCTTTTCTAATTCCCCCCCCCCCAATCCTTTCCCCAAAAAGAAGAGAAGTTCATTTTGTTTCAGAAAGTAATTGCAAATATTCTTGCCAACACCTCTATTATTTGAATTATAAAACCTAAACTCTAAACTGGTATATACCTTGCAGATACAAAGCTCAGGAAAATGACCACCCACAACAGAGAGAAATGGAGAAAAATAAATGATGGCATACAAATGGGGTATTTCTGCATACAATTCTCTTATGTTACAGGTTATTCAAATACTTAAATCAATTTGTTATGTGTGAGATGGCTCAAAAGCTATTATCCACATATGTACAGCAGTTTCTAGCATTTTATCTCCCTCTTGACATCTATAGATTTAGCAAATTGTATCTTCTATGATCCTGATTAATACTGACTGGGTTCAAAACATCACATTAAGCCATGACTTTGGGAGAAGAGGCCACAAATTCTGGGGTATTCGAACATGTGTTTGTCCAGTAGAGTGGGAATGTTGTTTAGCAGGGCTTTGGCACTGTCTTGCAGAACTCCAACCCTAGGTACCCCACAGTGTGTGCATCTGGGGTTGGATCACTTTTACAACATGGTTGGAGGGCCCGGAGTGTGGTCTTGCAGGGCTTCACGCCTAGACACCCAGGCTCCAGGCTATATCTCTGTGCAGCTTACATGGGACCAGAGCATGGTCTTATAACACTCTGGCATGGTCTTGCAGGTACCTGTGGAGTGCATGCTAAAAGCTCAATTTATTCCAGGTGAGGTGGAGGGCCCAAAATGAGGTCTTGTATGGATCTAGTCCTGGGCATGCATAATGGGTGCCCTTGAATATGGATTGAGTTCATTCTGAGTCTGTCTAGCTGTGCCAAGCACAGGAATTAGATTTTATGTGGCTGCTGAAGTTGGTCCCAGGCAAGTGATATGGTAGAAGGGGAATAAGAGAGCTATCTTGAAGGTGGGGGGCAGATTTCTAGGGTTATGTGGGACAGGCTTATACTTCTTACTGAAAAACATCATTTTGCATTTGATTCTTTGGCTGTTTGTTTCCAATGAACAAATTTTGTTTTGTAAGGTTGCAGAGTTCCACTGTTGTCCTGTCTGGTATCTAGACTGCAATTTTATTATTAAGTATGAGTGGTGTAATTGTTTTTGTTTCCCAGTCCTGGCCCCAATGAAATCATTGGTTTTGTTCATGGAGGAGCTAACACGAGCTCCTTTATCTTTTTGGGGGGGAAGGGGGAGGACACAATACCACCAGGTTTGAAAACTTCTGCACTAAACTATAAACCATAATCCACAAACTACAATGGCTGAGTTTAAACAACACATAAAGCAAAATAAAACAAAGTATATGAGTGATCAAGTCACCTTATCTATGACTTTCCCATTTCCCCAGAGAACATATACAATGTGAAACAGTCCTTAAGTTATCTTCCATTCCAAATGTAGGATTCTGCATCAATACACACACACACACACACACACACTTCTGTAGCAACAAAACTGGGGCAAGTATAGGACTTAAACTATTCATGTCCTCAAGTGCATACTTTCACTCAAATTTGTCACATTAACTCTTCTTACATGCAAGGAAGTTTTCACCAAGTCTGCAAATCTGGTTCAATATAAAGGCTGTAAATTTTGGATTAGTTTTTTAAAAAATATAAAGGTATTTGTAACAAAGTTTTGAACTGTTGCTTACACATCATTGAACTCCTCAAATGACTTTGCAGGTGAGAATACATCTAGAAGTCCAATAACCTGTAAAGGGGGGAAAAGATATTCCTAAGTAAGCATATACATTGCTCCTTTTTTTCCCCAATCCATTTCTTTCAACTGAAACATATTACTATCCCAATTCAGAGTGCCTGCTATGTGAATACATGATTTAAAACTTCAAATCCTGTTTTATTCTCATTGTTCTACTGTTGCCATGTATTTTATGTTTTAATTTGTACCAAAAAAAAAAAAAAAACCACCCTGGCTACTATGCAGTAAAGCAATTAAGGAGAATATCTATATTTGGGCAGAACTTCTGCTGGCACCCAACATGCACTGCAAAAAAAATTAATGCACAGAAATGTATTGACAAACCTTGATGAAGGACAATGCACTGCATCCTACACAACACTGTGGCTTTGCTTTGAACTGTTAAACTTGCATTAGATATGATTGCACTAGCCCTAAGTGAACAGACTCAGTACTTCGGGATCTTATAGATCTAGCTTCGGATGCCTAAATCTAAGAGGTGCTTAGATCCATCTACATCCAGTCTTTATCAAGATGGCTTATTTGGTGGAAATGCCACAATGAAGGAAATTTTTACCATATGTGGTGGCTATGCAAAAAGATCAAAAAACAAATTCATCAAAATATCCAAAAAATTCTGAAAATAAAAATCTAATCAAAACCACAAATATTTTATTAGGTATGATCCAGAGAATATAAATGAAAAGCATCACAATTTATTAAGAGACATGCTGACAGTGGCAAGAAATCAATCTGGCACAATCTTGCCAACAATACAAGATTGAAAAACTAAAATTGGAGAATATGTGGCAATGCAAAAATTGACTGTATATATTCATGGCAAAAGTCTAACCAATTTCAGGCAGGAAAGTTTCCTTATATACAACATATTACATAGCAAGGCAAGCTTAGACCCTTAGAATATGATTTTTGAAGCAAAATAGCAGTTGTTTAAAAAATAATTAAAACAATCCAAATAGAAATGAGCAATAACTGCAGATGTCCAAAGCACAGTATAAAAATATTTAAATAACAATTAGTGGTGGGGGAAAAGAAAGGAGAAAAAAAAGAGGGGGTGCTATTAGAATGCCCTTGCTTGCAATGTTTTTCTCTTTTTCCTTTTTAATTTTTTAAAAATAATTATAGTTTCATTTCAGTCTTCACTCTAGTGTATAGTTTATTTTATGTATGTACTCCTTTTCTTTGTTTTTTTGTTGTTTGTTTTACCTAATTAATAAAAAAACCCAGAAAAACAAATCAAATAAAAGGCTCATTTGTCAACTGCATCAATTTTTTGCACTAAACAGCCAGCATGTCTTGCTGTACCACACTTCTCAATACAGTATATAGTTTTTGTCACTTCTTCCAATGTATTTTATAAGCAACTATAGAGCAAAGCAAATTTTCAAGCTGATTGCTAGCAGACATGAATTATGGACTAGTTTGTGCTACAACAGAATGAAGTCTTCTTTACTGAACGGTAGGTATTCAACTATTTTAAATAAGATATTACTCAGTAATAGTACAGTTAGAAATAATGGATGACTAAAGGCACGGTTTGGATGTTATATTAAGATATTGTTCAGCACAAGGGTGATGCACTTAGCCCCCCAAATGTTACTGGATTTCAAATTCTTATTAGCTTCCACCATGATGGCTGATGTTGAGAGATGATGGGCATTATGGCTTCCAGGTGCTGGTAGACCACAGGATTTTAACCTCTAACTTAGCATCAAGAGCCCTGGGCTAGAACACTTCCCTTCCTCCTCCCCTCCAGGTTCAACCAAGAGGTCCAGAGTTTCTACTTTCATTTTAAATGAATTGCAATTTACTATCACCTTTGGACTGAAGTGGTTGCTACTTATAATAGTTAGTAAAACAAAGCATCTTTTTACAAGTAGTCCTCACTTAATGACAGTAATTGGGACCAGAATTTTCACTGCTAAGCACTGTGGTCGTAAAGCGCAACATCACATGACCACAGTGCTTAGCAACAACAATCCTGGCAGTCCCCATTGCTGTCGGTAAGCGAGGATCATGGGTCGATAAGCAAGGACCTCCTTGTAACTTCCTGCCAGCTTCCAAGAAGCCAAGTCAACGGGGAAGCCGGCAGGATGTCGTAAATCACAGGCAGCTCACAAGCAGGCCAGTGGGTGGGTAAGTGACTGCTTTGGTGCAAGCGTGGCAGGGCCAGGGGTGGCTGCTGCCAGGCTGGGGAGGGTGTGCAAGAGGCTCCTGTGGGAGATGCTGCCTAGGGAATGGTCAGATAAGAGTGAGCATACCCTGCAGCTGCATAGTGGGTGGAGCAAGAGCCTCAGAAGGGGCCCTCCCTAAATTATTGGACTGTAAAGGAGATGGCGGGAGAACTGTACTTTCAGACTTGCAAGATTCTGTTAATGCAGCTTTACAATAAAGTAGAATTAGTTTATCTGGTCGTGTTTCCTGTCTTGTCTACCTGGTAAGGCTGACAGTTACAGAATACGGAGGACTCTGATCCCCAGGATCTTGTACTCTGTAGCTGGGCTCCTTGGGACAAAAAGCTGCGGGAGTGCGAGCAACTTGCAACCTTCCTACCGGCTTCCCTATTGACTCTGTTTGTAGGAAGCCAGCAGGGAAGGTTAGAAATGGCAATCACGTAACTGCGGGATGCTGCAACTGTTGTAAGTGCGAGCTGGTTGCCAAGCACCCGGATCACAATCACTTGACTGTGGAGGTGCTGGGACGGCCAGAACTTCGAGGAACGGTCATAAGTACCACTTGTTTAGCGCCATCGTAACTTTGAACAGTTGCTGAATGAGTGGTTGTTAATGGAGGACTACCTATATATATCTTATGTTAACATGAAGTAAAGCTATAGATAGATATAGATATAGATGATTTTTTTTATATAGCCATGCTTGAGAAAGAGAAGTATAGATGCCCTGGGGCTTGGTATAACTCATTACTATCATGCTAAATATACTGTGATGTTTGATTTTTGCTATTATTAATTGCATTTCATAAAATGCAGCATTATAGTAAAATTCAATGAAATAAGCTTGTCATGAGAGTAACTCCAATGCAGCTTTTCCTAATCCACTGAAAAATGAGTCACCTTCCACAAAGACCCCACTCCAGTTATTTGGGTCAACTATATGCTTCAACAGATGAAAATGTATATCTTCATTATTTTCTATGGACTTGCCTAACATTATCCTAGATATCATTTCAAGGAAGCCCTCCGGTCAGTCACTCATGCCCTAGTCATCTCCCGTATAGACTATTGCAATACGCTCTACACGGGGCTACCCTTGAAAAATATCCAGAAGCTACTGCTGGTTAAGAATGCAGCTGCATGGGCAATTTTGGATGCCCCAAGGATGGTGCACGTAACACCTTCGCTGTGGGAGCTGCATTGGACGTCAGTCTGTTTCCAGGTCCAATTCAAGGTGGTGGTCATCACCTTTAAAGCCGTACGTGGCATGCAACCAGGTTATCTGAGGGACCGTCTCATCCCCATTACATCGACCCATCCCACCTGGCCAGGCACGGAAGGTATGTTATGGACCCCATCGATTAAAGAATGTTGCTTAACGGGTCCCAGGAAGAGAACTTTCTCTGCTGATGTTCCTGTTCTATGGAACACTCTCCCCTCAGAGGTGAGGCAGGCCCCCACTTTCCTGGCCTTCCAAAAAGGGGTGAAGACCTGGCTCTGCCAGCTTGTGTGGGGCTCAAGGAGGGGTAACCAAACCTGGGGGTGGTTAGCACCCTGAAGATGCTTCCAGAGGTCAATAATTTATTTATACCATCTATCCCTTA